CTCCTCTCTGGCCACACTACCCTCCTGACCACACTACTCCTCTGGCCACTACTCCCTGGCCACACTACCCCTCCATGGCAGCACACTTACTCCTCCCTGGCCACACTATTCCTCCCGGCCACAGTAAACTCCATTCCTCCTCCTCCTCCTCCTTCCCCATCACCACCAATACAACAGTCTACCAACACCTCGTTAAGCACACCATCACCACCCCTTCCATCACACACATCACCATCACACCCTTCCATCACACCATCACCATCACCACCGTTCGATCACACACCATCACCATCACCACCCGTTCCATCACACACCATCCACCATCACCACCCGTTCCATCACACACATCACCACCCCTTCCATCAAACACCATCACCATCACCACCCGTTCCATCACACACCATCACCACCCTTCCATCAAACACCATCACCATCACCACCCCTTCCATCACACACCATCACCATCACCACCCGTTCCATCACACACCATCACCATCACCACCCCTTCCATCACACACCATCACCATCACCACCATCCCACATTTACCTGCAGCAGATGTAGTAGCCAACTTCACATCGCCTTAAGCCCCCGTCCACCTGTTCCGCCATAACTACCGAAGCACAGCCAACCACCTGATTACATCTTCACGCCTCATTACATCATCTCTTACCCGATTTTAAGGTCTAATTTCGCCGTCATTGTAACCTGGGAGGAGATTATTACATAGCGACAGGGGGCATCATTTGCATAAGTTAGGTTGTGAGGGTGTTTGGAAGAGGTGGGTGGTGTTTTGTGGGTGGTGTGTGTGTGTGTGTGTGTGTGTGTCTGTGGTTACTACCGTTATCACTGTCTCCCCTACTCTCTCTCTCTCTCTCTCACACACACACAGTAATACCTGGTAAACAAAGAGCTAATTAACAACTAACTAAGAACTGTTATCGCTAAAAAAAAAGCGAACCAAAAAAAACTGAAAATAACTCAAACAAATTAATTTTTCTTATGTATTTTGAAGCGTGACAGGTAAGACTTTTTTTTTTCATCTTGGTAATAAAAACTCAAGCGTGCCTACCTGCACCTGTAAGTGTATCTCTACCTGTAATTTTACCTGTAACCTGTAACCGTATCTCTACTTGTAGCACCAATACTTGTACCTGGATATGTTCCTTGTAGTCCCCCACACCTGTTAATTGTAGCCCCCCACACCTGTCCCTTGTAGCCCCCACACCTCTTGTAGCCCCCACCCTGTTCCTTGTAGCCCCCACCCCTGTTCCTTGTAGCCCCCACCCTGTCCCTTGTAACCCCCACCCCTGTTCCTTGTAGCCCCCACCCCTGTTCCTTGTAGCCCCACCCTGTCCTTGTAGCCCCCACCCCACCCTGTTCCTTGTAGCCCCACCCCTGTTCCTTGTAGCCCCCACCCCTGTTCCTTGCAGCCCCCAAACCTGTCCCTTGTAGCCAGGAGTTAAGCTGGGAGGTGTCAAAAGTTAAGTAGTCCCTCAATACTTACAAAAGCTTCACTGGGGCGTTAAGCTTCGAGGCGACAAAGTTTAAGGCTCCAATAATCAGAGGATCACTGAAGACTAGTAAAGCTTCCCGCAGGGCTTCAGGCTTGAGTTGTGAAGCGGAACCACCTATTTTAGTTAACCTCACCCCATGTTAATCTCCCCCATGTTAATCTCCCCGTGTTCATCTCGCCCCATGTTAATCTCTCCCCACGTTAATCTCTCCCCATATTAATCTTTCCCCATGATATATCACCCCATGTTAATATCCCTAAGTTAATCTCCCCGTGTTAATCTTCCCCCATGTTAATCTCCCCCATGTTAATCTCCCCGTGTTCATCTCTCCCCATGTTCATCTCTCCCCATGTTAATCTCTCCCCATGTTAATCTCTCCCCATGATATATCACCCCATGTTAATATCCCTAAGTTAATCTCCCCGTGTTAATCTTCCCCCATGTTAATATCTCCCCATGTTAATCTCCCTACGTTAATCTCTCCCCATGTTAATCTCTCCCCATATAACCTCCCCATGATAACTCCACCCAGGCAGAAACAGAAAGACAGACAGACAGTACGAGAGACAGATAAATTATACAGAAAGAAAGACAGACAGACAGACAGACAAATTCACGAACAATAACCCCAAGACACAAAAGTCGTCATTTAACACAACATTACTAACAAAAAAGTAACAAAATATAACAAAAGTAACAAAAAAGTAACAAAATATAACAAAAAGTAACAAAATATAACAAAAAGTAACATAAAACGAACAAAAAATAACAAAATATAACAAAAAGTAATAAAATATAACAAAAAAGTAACAAAATATAACAAAAAGTAACAAAAGTCCAAAGAAGTAAAAAAAAATGCCATTCCGAACGTCCAATAAGGCGTAACTCACTTATAAATTAATAAAAGACCAAAACAAAAGAAGAAAGCGTCCCATCAAACCTACTCCATCCTGGGAAATACATAAAAAAACACCTCGGTTAACACTACGAAGATACTAAGTTAATTATCTAGATTACCTTAAGGTTTTGTTAATCAGACGAAAAGTAATAAAAAAAAAGGTTACAATTAGCATACTGAATGATGAGTAAAATTACCTCAATTACATTCAGGTTATATTAATCAGGTTAACTTAGCAATGAAAAGGTTACATTATCATCGTCCTGGGATTAAAATTCTCCAGAGATGGTTAAGTGAGTTTTGTAATGTCTTAAGTGAGGTATTTATAAGATAGATAGATATATAGATAAATAAATAGATAGATAGATAGATAGATAGATAGATAGATAGATCTTTTCTCGATCTATAAGCATCCTGTTACACCGCCCCCCCCCCTCCTCCCCTAAATCACAGGTGTACACTTAGCTAATTACAAAACACCTGCATTATTTATCACCTGTGTTGTATCCCGGGGCATTACACACCTTCAGTAAATACAAAAAAACATCGATTTATTTATTTATCAGGTGGCAATATTGTCTCAAGCCTTGGAGGGGTAATGAGGCGAGTGGTAGTTTTTGTTATTGTATACCGAGGATCACAGCTACCAGTGGAGTGAGATTGATCAAGGTGGAGGGTAGTGGAGGGTTGGTGGAAGGGTGGAGGGGTTGGTGGAGGGGTGGAGGGGTTGGTGGAAGGGTGGAGGGATTGGTGGAGGGGTGGAGGTGGTAGTGGAGGGGTGGAGGTGGTAGTGGAGGGGTGGAGGGACATGTGAAGGGGCAATGGGACGTGAGAAGGAATGGACAAAGGAGGGAAAGGGGAAGTAGGTAGAAGGGTGAAGGTGAGTGGAACCAAGAAAACACACACACACACACACACATCTTATTTATATCACTTATGTTACTTGTATATTATTTGTAATTCGAAACCCATTCCCCAAATATGTAACTGTATATTTTCAGCCTTCTGGCTGCCAAATTCTTTCAATAACCCGTTAATTATTATTATTATTATTATTACACACACACACACACACACACAAAACAGACAGAGCGAGAAAATATCAAAGCATAACCTTCCAATAAGAGTCTTCAACACTGTACAATAAGATCCTATCCCCCCCCCCCCAAGGCGACGTCCTCCAGGTATAAGAGAGGATCGACTCCCTCATCCAATCAGCTCAATGAGACGATTCCTTTATACTGTGTAGGAAAATTATTACGATCTAAGTTGTTCTCGTGTGTGTGTGTGTGTGTGTGTGTGTGTGTGTGTGTGTTGTTTTTATAAGGAGTTGTGTTCTTGTTTTGAGGATAATATTGTATCGGACTAAAAATCCCACTGTACACACTCACACACACACAGACTGTCCCCTTAGTATAAATAAATCCCGATTACACCTACAAACAGCAACAAAATCCTCCTAAATCCTGATTAACATAAGTGAAGAGAAATAATCTCAAAGATTCCTAATTCAGCTTTTGGTTAGGTAAGGTTTGGTTAGTTTAGGTTAAATTAGGTTAGATTAGATCAGGTTAGATTAGGTTATATTAGGTTAGAATAGATTAGGTTAGATTAGGTCAGGTTAGTTTAGGTGACAACGTGTACAAATCTTCACCGTGGCCAAAGGACATTTAAGGACGTTCAGACTTAATTAAAAATACCTGGCTCTTCCATATCAAGGTAGAGAGGTCCTCCAGCTGAGTGTGTGAGGGCCCATGAGTGTAATAACCCACCTGTTGGTCACTCTTAGGAGAGCGAGTGTCCCAGAGGTATAGAGATCGAGGGAGGAAACTTTAGTGGTGGTGAGAGGGAGCTGCTGTGGTGGTGAGAGGGATGAGGGAGGTGTAGCGGTGGTGGTGAGAGGGATGAGGGAGGGTGTGGAGTGAGAGGTGTGGGGACAAAGACGATTGGGGTGGGACAGAGAGAAGGGAGAAGACGCAAGAGGAGAGGAGAAGGATGAGAGGAGAGTGAGGGGTAAAGAGGGAGGGAAGGAGAAGGTGGGGAGGAGAGTGAGGGATAGAGAGGGAAGATAACAGATTGAGGGGAGGATAGGGAGGGAGGAAAGATGACGGGAGGAGAGGGATGGCAGGAAGAGTGGAGGTATAGACAGGGAGGGAAGGAGAAGGCGAGGAGGAGAGTAAGAGGAGAGTGTTGGGAGGAAAGGGAGGGGAGGGGAGCGTTGTTGTGTCCACTCCAGGCGTAACAATATTAACACACACCATCCAACACACCTCCCTCAGCTGGGTGATCTGCTGTCCTCACTTAATTAGAGAAGCAGCTGGGGTCGAGAGTAACTGCGATTCTTATTGGTGCACAAGAGGGCTCAAATTAATTTTCAGGCGGCCCAGAGTTTCTGTGTCTGTCTTTTGCTTACGTAAATAATAATAATAATAATAATAATAATAATAATAATAATAATAATAATAATAATAATAATAATAATAATAATAATAATAATAATAATAATAATAATAATAATAATAATGATAATAATAATAATAATAATAATCGATGTATCTATTAGTTACCCCGCCAACCGTTCTCTCTAAAGCCACAAAAGGTAACTGTAGAAAACGGTCCATATAAGGCCATCTCCCCAGGAGTAACAATGGCTGGGTAACTCTAGTATTCTATTGTCTCCACCTTAAAACCCATCCTATTTAATACTTTCATCTTACAGTTTTTACAATATCAGTCTATTTATTATATTTTATTGTAGAGAAACTTTATAAACATAAACGCTGTAGAAATAATATAAATGTGAACTTAAATTTGTTTTGACTTTGTTATCATTTTCCCTCGGTAAATTGTAAACAAGTTGCTGTGGCGATATAATTTTCACTGACTAGTTAAACACAACAATAAAAACATTACAGTCTGGTTTGAAATACGTCACTTCCACACACAAAACCTGCCTCATCAAATATGCAAATGACTGTCGTTAACTGTTTATCATAAGCAAAGCTGCGGTAATAACGAGTAGTAAGTGATCTTTCAGTACTGTCACGAGTGTTTACTTTGGATATTAATAATGTTACTTTCACAATACTCAAAAAAGTTTAAACATTAAATAACTTTCTCATTTAGATTCTTCGTTGGTTTGTTTCTCATGTAATCTTGAATATAATTTCGTAAGCTTATTTACCTTCAAGGAACCTTCCCAATGACGCATCAAATACTGTTTTACATATAAAAATCAAAGATTTTTTTAATATCAACTACAAACGTAACAAATAAAACTCTCTTTTATCTTCATTGGAGAGGAATTTGTTGATTTCTTCATGTCTAATAATAACAACAGCTCGATCTTACCTGTCCCGTTCAGCAAGTAAAACGCCCAAAGCTGAAGAGATCCAAATATACTTAAAAACTCGGTTAAAGGGACACTCACCTAGTGAAGATTCGGGGTCGGAGAGGTCGGCGATGTCTGGCACCTTCTGCATGGCCTGGTATGGGTGGGCAGCGGTCGAGGGCACACAGTGAGGGTCGGCTGAGGGGTCAAGCACGCCGTCGTAAGAGGGATCGACAGGCTCCTGCTTCACCAGACCCGGCAGTTCGAGCGAGAATTTGACCTAAAATGGAGGAGAAGGTCGTGTTAGGTCACAGACTATATGCTGCTGAAGGAAAATGGTAACAACATGACGCTACTGACTACAAGGAAGTTGGATTTAAGGTGATTTAACCCTTTACAGTAGATTTTATAACCCATTAAGTTATATGATCTCAAAGGCGATAAAAATTGTTTAACCCTTTAATGTCAATGGCTTAAACCTTTACTGAACAATGACATAACTTTTAAAAGATTCAAACCCAAAATAAAATAAAAAGTCTTAACTCTTTGAAGACGATGGTTTAACCCTATAATGGCTACAAAAAATCACTGACGTAAACTTAGGTCAAACACACACAAGTAATCCACACACGTCACTAAACTACGTGACAGACGCCATTAACCCCACGACAACAGGTGTAATTTAGGTCACTAATGTCGCTGACCTACAAGAACAAGATGCCATCAATGCGTGAGAAGTGAATATTAAATCATTAGTGCCAATTAGCTAATAGAAACAAGTTATAGGTGACCTGAGAGAGAGAGAGAGAGAGAGAGAGAGAGAGAGACACACACACACAATATACCGTGTACACTTACCTTCTTCTTAGCGGACATCCTTGAAGCGGACTTGTCACTGTCACCATAAAACTCCAAATCCATGTTGGCGGGATGAGCAGTGAGGCACTGTAGGGAAGATGGAGACGAGAGGAGGGGAATTAGACGAGTGGAATAACATACAAACGCCATCTAGATATTATAACATTAACACACCCCCCCCACCTCCCTCACCTCCCACACCCCTACACACCCACCCCCCACCTCCCTCACCTCCCACACCCCTACACACCCACCCCCCTCCCTCACCTCCCACCCCTACACCCACCCCCCCCACCTCCCTCACCTCACCCCTACACCCACCCCCCACCTCCCTCACCTCCACACCCCTACTCCCACCCTCACCTCCCACACCCCTACACACTTCCCCGGCCCCCACCTCCTCACCTCCCACACACCACCCCATCACCCACACCCCCACACACTTTCCCACCTCCTCATCTCCCACACCACCTGACTTCCCACACACCCCACACATCACCTCACACCTCTCTACCTGGAGCTAATTAATATTATTTTAAGCAGATGTCTGTCTTACTGTCTTATCTATCTAGTTATCTATGTATTATTTATCTATATTTATCTTTTAAACTATTTATTTATTTATCTTTCTATATTTTTATTTACTTTTCAATCTCTCTAGTTCCTTACTTTCTCTCTCTCTCTCTCTCTCTCTCTCTCTCTCTCTCTCTCTCTCTCTGTTGAGTTGGACGAGGTTCAGTCATTAGACAGTCCTAGTAGAACCTAAGAGCCACTCCCGGGGTTCTGTGAGGTCACGACGTGGCCAGTGTTTACGAGTGAAGTGAGGCTATTAGTTCAGGGTTATATAGTAGTACTTATTTCCGTGTCCTGTGTTAGTTAATTCAGGGTTGTTAAACGGTTTTGAGGGGATAATTTTTTCTCTATTGTTTTTTCTATATTCCGTGTTTGTTAAGTTGTTATTTAACATTATTTTGTATTAATTTCTACTTATTTTACTTGACCTGGTTTAGTTTTGTTAGTTTCTGCTACTTTTGGAGTCCTGGATTAGTAAATTTGTTAGTTTGGTTCAATATGCTACTCCTTATGTCCTGGTTTGTGCTTTAACTTCTACGAATTTATGTTTCATCATCACCAAACCAGACGATGTTGTCACAAGGTCATAGATTATCATACATCCATATCAGACACTCAAGCAGAAGGTTGCCTCGTCTGCTGCCACAATAATTATCGTCACGGTCTCTGAATATAGTAATTGAATCATACGAGGATTAGATGCCCCAGATTATTTCACCTGCATATTAACCTCATTAGTGCTAGTTTAACCTAACCTGAGCTTAACCTAACCACACTAATGATAACCTAAGCTAACCTTACCTAATCTGGCAGAATATGACTGAAGATAGATGAAGATATTTATTTCAACTAATTTACATAGTGTTAGATTTATCCATCAGTAACTCATGATGTTAAAATCCTTATACCATTTAACAATCTACTTGATGTTAAGAACCCCTTGTCCCATGTAAGACCAGGTATCACTACACCTGTTGGACAAACTACCGACACCTGGCAGTAGTTCAGGACCGGAATACACAAAGGCTCGTAAGTCAATTTATTTACTCGTAATTTGAATAATGTAAAAAAAAAGGTGTTAGAAAGAAGACCTGATCCTGTTAGTCCCTCCCTTACAGCTTCATCAGGGAGAAGAGGGACGTAACATACTCTCCCTGGCGGTGGGTGGGTGAGGGACATCAGGGAGAATAGACACGTAAGATAGTCTCCCTGGCGGTACGTGAGTGGATGAGTATAGTGGGTGGGTGAGTGAGTGAGGGAGACCAGGGGGAATACACACGTAAGATAGTCTCCCTGGCGGTGGGTGGGTGGGTGGGTGAGGTGTGGTGGTCATCAGGGGGCAGAAGACCCACAAGGTAGAGAGCTTCCTGCCTGGTGTTATCCCCGAGGCGAGGCCCTAGGCGACCTCCCTCACCAGGTGTAGACGTGACAAAGACGATGACCGGAGATGAACCGCCTCCTCCTCCTCCTCCTCCTCCACGTCTTCTTCCTCTCTCTATCCCCCTCCTCCTCATATTAGTAATTCCTTGGCCATCTTCCGTCGTTGTCTTAGAGATTAATCAACACATGTGAGGTTTCCCCATTAAGTTTTCTTCTTTGTTATTATAAACATGTTTGGTGTATTGGGTGGGGGGGGAGGCGGGGCAGGGGGTGATAGGGGGGGTGATGGGGAGAAAGGGGGATGTTGGGGAGGGGGTGATGGTGAGGGGGTGATGGGAAGGAAGGAGAGGCTGGGGAGGGGGTGACGGGAAGGAAAGGGGGGGGGGAAGACTGGGTAGGTTTAACTTGTTATCGATCGGTGTGAAAGTTATATTATTATAAATTATTATTATTATTATTATTAGTAGTAGTAGTAGTAGTAGTAGTAGTAGTAGTAGTAGTAGTAGTAGTAGTAGTAGTAGTAGTAGTAGTAGTAGTAGAAGTAGTAGTAGTAGTAGTAGTAGTATTTCGTTATTTTCTTCAATGACAGTTCATCCAAGAGCATTAATTCGACTTAATATCTTATCTTGAAACATATCATCACAAGTAAACAAAATCTACCTTCCATTTTGTCCTGAACATTTCACCCCTAATGACATTTTCACCCGAAGCATTTGGAGCATTGACCCACAGGTGATGCAACCCCCAGTTTACAGGTGTGGTCAGGTGTGGGAGGCAGTCGGCCCCCACATCTGAATCATCACCTGCATGTAAAAAAAAAACTCTGGCTAGGCTCCTGACTTGCATGTATGATTGCATGATCAACACATGGAAGGAACTGTATCTTGTATGTATGATTCATCAGTGATTAAAGTGGATGATTAGTAACTGGTATTAACTGTATGTGTGTGTATGATCGACTATATATGTATGATTCGTAACATAATCATTCTTAAGACTTCAGATTCTCAAAGGATTATAAGTCAATGTTTTCTATAGTGAGTAACACACACACACACACACACACACACACACACACACACACACCTGTCTCATTTACCTGCCATTAATGAACAACAACACCATTACAATGACCACCATAACAACACACAGACGTAATAATCTGATGTGGTGATGGATGAACAACTTCCCATTGACTTAGTATAGTATAAGCAGATGAAAACCTCTCCCATTCATCTCCAGGTGGTGGCCATACAACAGGTGTCTTAGTGTAGTAAATTACAGGTACAATTATGGTTACCTGAGTGAATTAGGGGGGGGGAGAGGGAGGGATGGGGAAGAGGGCGTGACTTGAGTTAGGAAAGAGGGAAGAGTGAAGGAGCTACGTGGGGACAAATCTGAAATCTGAATCGGACTGAAGGGGTTGATGGAGAGAGGGAGGGAGGAGGTGTTAGGGCGGGTAGTAGTGTAGGTGGAGTGGGGGTCAAAGAGGGGTGTTACAGGAGAGAGAGAGGGGAGGGGAGGGGAGGGGGGGTCTCACAAGGTGGACAGGAAATGCCACAATGAGAGCCCAAGTGTTGACAAAGTCTCGGAACATTTGACTCACATTCAAAATGTTTCGTGTGTAAAAATCTGACGTCTGAGTTATCGATCATTCATGCTTTCCACTCACGTCACCCAAGCACTCAATAAGGGATAACCAGAGGGTGCATCTCCCTAGCTCTAGTACACAGAGAAAGAGAGAGAAAGAGAGAGAAACTAAGAGAGAGAGAGAAAGAGACAGATCTACCTAAGTATCAGGATATAGTTATCAATAAGGAGACGATAAGTTGTCAGGTCTCAAGTTACCTAAACACCGAGAGATTCCATAAGTCATAACCAAGTATATTCCTTTGTTTACCTGGGCTCAAGGGCTCATATCCGGCCGTAAAAAATAAAACAAAAAAAACATTCAACTCTTATTGTTCTTTTTGTTTATATTTACGTGAGTGACTGAAGAGAAACTGGTGGGGTATTTCAGTGTTCTAAAACAGGGAATAACGTCTCATAGGGTTAAGTCTTTGTTTTGGCTTTATGCGCAGGTTGTGTAGTGGAGATTATTGGGTCCCTTGATTATTATTATTATTATTATTATTATTATTATTATTACTACTATTATTATTACTATTATTACTATTATTATTATTATTATTATTATTATTATTATTATTATTATTATTATTACTATTATTATTACTATTATTGCTATTATTATTATTAGTATCATTATTATTACCATTATTATTACTATTATTATTATTATTATTATTATTATTATTATTATTATTACTATTATTATTATCACGGGCATAATGCAAGGACAGGTAAACTAGAGCTACTGTAAAGGGTTACGTTACCACACACACACCTGAGGTCCACCACAGGTATCAGTGTAATCAGTAGGTATCTAATCTGACACCAACCACTGCCCTCTTTGGCTTCCCTCCCCACCTAGTACCCCCCTCACCCCTCTCCCCTTTCCCTCTCCCCTCTCTGCTCCTTCTTCCCTCTTCTTCTCTACCCCTTCACTCTTCCCTCACTCCTCCCTCCCCACCTCCCTAACTAACCCCTCCTCCCACTCTCACATAGGTCCCCCATCACACACACACACACACACACACACACACACACACACACCCCTCCCATCTTCCTCCACTTTTTACACCCTCGTAACCACCATCACCTCACCCCCTACTGGGCACACACACACCTCCTTCCCTCCCCTCCCCCTCCCCTCTCCCCACCCTCTCCCAGGTACTAAACACCTCCTCACCTCAGTAATTTATAAGGTCAGGAAGCAATTCGCCAGGTAGGTGGGCGTGAGAGGGAGGGGGTGGAGGAAAGGAGGTCTATGAGGGAAGTGGGAGGAGGGAAGGGAGGAGTATATGAGGGAATGTAGAGAAAGGAAGATGCAAAGGGAGAGAAGGAGGGAAGGGGGAGGGAGGGAGGGGGTTTAGGAAGAAATGGGAAGGAAGGGAGGAGAAAATGGGGGAAGGGAGAAGGTTTAGGAGGGAATAAAGAGAAAGTAAGGAGACAGAAGAAAATAAGGGAAAGGAAAGGCCTAAGAGGGAAGGAAAAAAGGGAAAGATGAGTAA